AACTTGTTTGGGGGCCGGGGCTCTCGGTAGTGGTACAGTAGTATAGTAGCTAGTATTAAATACAGAAGTACAGCCGTAGTATAGTAGTAGTCCGCGATCTCCTTCAAAAGACTCGTGTGAATGCCATGCAGGTCCTCTCATAAACCATGTGACTTACCTTAGCGAAGCAATGAGGCTTCTAGAGTAGAGGCAGCTTCTAAGGCTTTTTACCATGCAGACTCGCTCTGTTCAGGTGGCCGAGGAGCAGGAGCTGCCTCTGCGCGAGTGGGTGCAGCACGTGGAGGGCCAGGTGAACGCTGCACGGGCGGAGAACCTTCGGCTCTCGGCGGCGCTGAATTCCTCTTTGGCCTTCCGGGCCTCACTTTTGTCGGACGATGCAGAGGCCCAGCCTCTGAGGGACTCCGGCATGAACGTGCAACAGGTGCGCTGGCTCAGGGAGCACAAGCAGAGCTGCCTGGCAAGAAAAGCACAGCTCAAGGAGGAGATCGCCGCAGAGGAGAAGCGCAGGGACGACTTCTTGAAAGAGGCCTGGCAACATCGGGCCATCGCGGAGGAGCGGCACCGTCGGATGGGTGGAACTGGAAATCTGCCCAACATTCTCCAGACGCCAGAGCGACGTGCCCCAGCTTCGACTCCCGGCTCCCTTCTCGGGTCGCCAAAGATCCTGCACCTCGATCTGAAGAGCATGCAGTAGGGGCAGCATAGCGTCCCAGTACTTCCGCCCGCCCCCCTCCTCCATCTCCCCTCTCCCGGCAGCGCAGCCTTCTTTGTGTCTTCAGCCAAGGCAACCTGAGACTTCCCGGAGCTGGCTCCCGGCTCGGATTCCGCCGGTGCCCTCCTTTCAGGCGGCCTCCGGGCAGTCCGTCTCTGCGAGTCCTTTTGTGTCGGCACCGAGGAGCGAGCTTTCGCCGGAAAGTCCGCTCGCCGACAGAAGCTTCAGTAGCCGAAGGAGCCCAGTGGAGATCGATGATATCCTCAGCGAGGACGAGCAGCCAGACTATTGGGACAGTGGCTGGGCTCACGAGGGCGAAAAGTTAAAGGCATGTGGCGCCACATGCCAGAAAGAGTGTTGGGATCGCACCACCCAAAATGCAGACGGAGCCAGGAAACTCCCTGGCCTTCCTCTTGGGGGGCATGCCGGGCCTGAAGCAGTGCACGGGGCCGACTCTGGCTTTTCAGCGAATCTGTTTTTCTGTGTGTCTCCTCAATGATCGAGGCTGGGATCCGACCCCTCTCAAGGCGTGAAGGGAGGGGGCGCCAGGGGTCGTCGGGTTCAAGCAAAAGTGCATGTTGGTTCACGATGAAATCGCCAGAGAGAGTGTCAGAGCTTGGGCATTCTTTCTCTGATTGCACCTCGGCTGCTAATCGCCAGGCAAAAGCTTTTGCCCGTGACAGGTCTTCAGCTCCATAGCCGTGGTCTATGCTTTTGGACGCTTGTCTTTCCTTGCTTGGGAGCTCGAGCGGTGCCAGAATGGTTGTTTGTCGCGCTTCCGGTTCGGCTGTGCCGATTGTGCAGTCAGGTGACTTCCTGGAGATGCAATCGATGTCCGTCATGGGTGGTGCAGCGCCAGGTTCTCGGGTTCTTCAGACGGGAATGGGGTTCACGCTGCAGAAACAATGTAGTGATGAGAGGTACCAGATCCTGCTTCAAAGCAAGCTGCTGGTGACGGCCCTCATCATGTGGTTTCTGCGGGGTCAGCGACAGACCACGCTGCAGTGGAATGTGCTAGGCCGTCATCTCTGCCAAAAGCATATAGTCTTCGGTCCTGCACCATGATGAACGTCGCGCAATTCTGCACAATCTGTGGCAGTCACAATTGCCCTGGGGATGAGCGCTTTCGTCTTGGCGGACGACAGCAGCGAGGCAGTCCAGAGCCTTGGGTCTTTGGAAGAATCTCACTGTGTAGTGTCACCAACTCATCGATGGGCTCTCTATGGGTGACAGTGACTTCAACGGTCAGCAAAAACTTCTGGAAATTCTAGATACAGAAGATGATATAGAGGAACACCAGAGCATACGTGAGGAACGAACTTCTTTTGGCGACGGATGCTTCGTGATGCTTAGGCATTCTAGGCTGACACGTGACGATTCCGCAGAGCTTTGGCAGGCTTCAGTTCTCGGATTCTTCCCGTTCTGAGGGAAGCTTTGGGGCTAATGTGAGGCTGAACCTTGGACATGCGGTGATGACAGCCATGGAGCCAACCGTGGAAGCGCGAGACGCGGGCATGGCAGGCAAGGGAGGCACGGGCACGGCGCCGGCACTCCAGGCCTCGCTGGGGCTGCACCGGAGAAAGATCGAAAGCTTGCGGGAACTGGAGGAGAGGCTGAATGCACGGATTGCGCGGCTCAGTGAACTGAGCCAGATGGTGCAATCGCTCATCGACGGCTCGAAAGGTCCGAGCGAGCCGAGTCCTAAGGAGGCTTGGGAGGCGGAGCTGCCCGTGTTGCAGTCCGTGGGCTCGGAGGCTTCCGTGGGGACTTTGAGCAATCCAGGCAATCAGTCCCCAAGCAATCGCCGCAACGTGACCCGAAGCGTCTCCTGGGTTTCACAAAACGAGGAGAGGCCAGTGGCCGCCAAGGAAGACGAGCCGAGATTTCCTCCGCACGGGCATTGGGTGCCCGTGGATCTCCTGGAGCGTCGGGCCTCCTTTCAAGGGGATGCGGCTTTGAAGCTCGGGGGAAGGCAGGTGCAGCTACAGACCCGGTCCCCGGATGGGCTGCGTGTACCCTGCATTTTGGTAGAACCCATGGGGAAGTTGTTGAGCCCCGATGAGTTCATCAGCGTCGGCGTCGCTGTGGTCTTCCAGGAAGCACCACACTCCAGCTCCAGCGTGGAGGAATGGGCTCAGGTCCTGAAGCGCACGAAGCTCTTGGATGCAGGGCTCTCGGTCGCCTTTCCGGACTTGGGCCAAGCTCTCAAAGAGCAGAAGCTCGGGAAAGAGCTCGAAAACGTCTCGGAGTCTGAGCCCAGTCTGCTCACAGCAGCTGACTTTCAAGATGTCTTGGATGCCATTGTGTCCTCCAGCAAGGACGACTCTTATATCCTCTGCGGCAAGGGCAAAGGCGCGCACCATGTCATGAACTTGGCCGCAAGAAATTCCAAGGCAGCATCCGCGATTCTGTTTGCGCCATCCTCTCCTCCGCCCAGCTCATGCCAGGACTTCCCCGGGCCAGTGATGCTTGTTTGGGCACAGGATGACAAGAAGCAGCCCTTTGAGAACGCCCCTCTCTGGGCGGAGCAGTTGGGAAGCCGTGAGGATGCAGTGGCCGTGCTCCGGGATCCGGCTGTGGGTGGCCACGATCTCGCACGGCTCCTCCGCAAGGACGAGCGGACGGCGACAGACATGCTGGCATTTGTGGCCGCCGTGCTGCTAATCGCCGAGCTCCCGAGGCTACCAGAGGACTTGGCTCGAAAGCCTCGGGTGCTTCGCCTGCTGGAAGAGCTTCCCCTGCACCTTCTGAACCAGCTCCGCCAACAGCTCAGCGTGAGCGCGGACGAGAGCCACCCTGACGAAATTGCCGCGGCCTTGCTGGCCCATGTCTCGGAACACTCCCAGGCCGTGAGCCGTCTGTTGCAATTGCTGAAGGAGTGGATCAACAACGATATGCCAAGTGGTGCTTCTGCATCTGAATAAAGCCAATGTCGCAACTGATGCAGGCAATTTGGTTTCACCCAACAGGAGATCTCGTATCAGTGTATGCAGTGGTTCCTCCTTAGAGGTGCGTGGCTAGCCCAATCCGCTGCTGCAGCATTGGGCGCTGCAGATGACATTTGTGAGCAGCCAATCACACTAATGACTTAGCCGACTTGAGCGCTAAACCCGGAAAAGCGGGCAATCCCTAATATAGACAGTAGTTAACTAGTGGTGTTTGAGTCATGTACATGTTGCAAAGCAACGCACCAGTGTGCAGGGCAGCTTCAAGCCGATTGGTTTGCTCTTTGTCGTGGCGAAGGCCCGAAGGCCCTGAAGCTCGAATAAGAAGCTCTGCACTGCTTTTGGCGGGAGGTCTTTTTCTCGTGCCTCTGCACCGCGCTGAGATGTCAGAGACGCTTTGTCTCGAAGCTTGGCCTGCCCAAGGTGCTGTCCTTGCAGAGAAGCACCTGAAGGCCGTTAATTGAGATCGTCTTCGTCGTGCAGAAGCCTGTTAAACAAGCTGTTATAGGCCTTCAGCGATATGCCGATCTATGCGCAGGACGGGTTGCTTGGCAAGTGGCGCATACCGTAGTCTCGTCTCGACAAGGTGGCCCAGCTGAAGTTCGCTTGGCTGTGGACATCCCTGGTTCTCACCCTCCTCTTCGACAGAGCCAGCCTCGGATGTCTTCTGCCAGGACAGGTTGAGCTTGAGCGCCACGGGTTTGTCTGGCTCAGGAAACGTGCGGGAGGACGGCTTCTGGAATGGCTGGGACAGCCGAACGGTGGTGGTGGCCTGCTCCTGGTCGGGCCCCGAAACGGCTACGATTGGTACAATCTGCAAAGGAGACAGGGCAGGAGGTCGTATTCGCTTGAACACCAGGTAGTTACCGGGTAGTTATGTCTCAAAATCACCAGATCACCCGTCCACCTGCCTTCCACCAGCCAGTGACAATATGCTTACCGAACTTGAACTTAAAGCTTGCTGGCCGTCTTCGGTCTCCCTCGACCTCATTGCCTCATGGAGTGTCGTGCAGCCATGCACGGCCCAAGCCTCTGCAGAAGCTGAGGCTTGCAGGATGCTCCCCGGACCCTTTGGTCCTGGCAGCTGTTTCAGTGTTTGCACCCATGGCACCTGCCTGACGCAGGGCTCCGAGGCGCTTCTGTCGGATTTAGAGGACATGGGGGGGAGAGGCATAGGCTGTCTTAGTATCTGCATCGCCTGAGAACGCTGAGTGTTGGAACGAAATCTCAAGAAATCAATGCCTCAGGACATCGCCAGCTTTGCTCCCATTCAGACGGCCAGAAGGGGCTGTCTTGGCATGTGCGGTAATGGTCCCAACTGCTTGCTGGAGCAGCCGGGCAAACGCCAGGCTGTCAGCAGACTGGACAGCTTCAGCAAGGTTATCTCTCTTGTTAAGAAAGTCCTCAAGGACACGTCCAGTCTCACACCAGACCTTCTAGAGAAGGCGCGTGTGAAGTCAGATGCGATCCGGATCATTGCTATGAGCGCCCTCCGTCCGGAGCGAACTGCAGAGGACATGGGGAAGGCCATAGGACTTCTGTCTGGTGCCATTGACCAAGAGCTGGCACAGGCGTCGAATGTGATGTCCGCCCGACTGCGAAGCCTCTATCTTCTGCGGGGCAAAGCTTGGGGAAGACGCCTCTTGGCCGAGAGCGACGAAAAGGCCCGGGCCTCCGATGCGTCGGCGGCTCTGAGAGATTTCGAAGCTGTCTTAGTTGTGGACCCGAACTTTGCGGATGCCTACGCAGAGATTGGCCACATCAACGGCTTTATGGGTCAGACTGCGGCAGCGCTAGGGTTGTATCAGAAGGCTCTGAGCCTCATGCACCTGGGATCTCCCGAAGCGTCAAAACTGCAACGCCGAGTGCAGAGGCTGCAGGAAGGGCGCATTGCTTCCTTAGAAGGCCGAGGAGATTCGGGCGATGGCAGTGGCCTTTGGAAGGTTTTAGAAATCGAGGGGCTTTCCCCCGACACATGCATCTACCGGCTTCAGACTTTGCCACCAGCCGAGCCGCACCCATTCCCACGCTCGGCGTGGCATGTCCACGTAGCTTATGGTTCAACCCTGAGGGAGTACACGCCGGTCTCTTCCGCCTCTGCTTGGGAAAGCGGGCGTTTGGATCTGCTTGTAAAAACATATCCCGATGGAACGGTCTCGAGGTTTTTCGGTTCGCTTCAGACGGCGGAGGAGGGACAAGAGGCCTGCTTACAAAGCTATGGCCTCCTGGAGGAGCAGAACTGTTGGGTTCGTGTGTCGGCTCCGATGCTCACCTTGGAGCTTCCATGCCTTGGCCTTGGGAGACCCGTTGAGCAGCTCGCCATCGTGGCAGGTGGAACTGGAATCGCACCAGCAATCCAGATCCTGTCAGAGGTTGTAGATAGCGCAGGGAGCATGGGAGGATGTTCCGCAAGGCTTCTCTACTCCAGCCGCGCTCCTCGAGATGTGTTAATGCTGGACGAGCTTCGGGCTCTTTCGCAGTCGGATCGGGTTCAGGTTGCTCACACTCTGACGCAGGAAAGCCGACGGTCTCTGGCACGCCACTTCCGAGGTAAGCATAGGCACTTCACCACAAGCTATGTTGCCCGAGATGGGCCACTACGGGCGGAAGAGGTGGCCTTTCACAGGCGCGTGGACACGGACATGCTGAAGGCATGTGTCCCTGGTCCCGGGCAGGCCCATTCTGTGATCGTGTGCGGGCCACAGGGCTTACTAGACGTGTGCGAGACGTCTTTGAAAATTCTGGGCCATGAGCCCAACAACATCCTGCTGCTCCGTGCCACCGCCACGGAATCACGGGCCGACGAAGACTTCAGCGAGGAGTCGGATGAAGGCCAGTCAGATGACGAGGTCTCGCAAGACGAGCTTGCGGACATGCCTGTCATCTCCGTTTCACCCGTGCCTGAAATTACCATCTCGGCCCCGGCGAGCACGGAAACATCCAAGCCGGGAGACCTTCTAAAAGCTCAGCTTGCTGGGGGTACTCCGAGCCCATCTCCAGGTTTGACCTTCGCCGACCGAGTGTTGCAGGCGCAGAAAAGAAGCGTCACAGCCAAGCGGCATACTGAATACTGCGCCCTCATCTTCTGATGCGCCCTTTGTGCCGAGGGTTTTCAAGGGGTGGTCCACCTTCGTGGTCCTGAAAAGCTTGGACTCGGTCCTGAAGAACATCGGCGAGGCACGACAGAGAGCTTTCAGGCTCGAGGAGGCTCGAGGCAGACCTGCACTGATGCTTTAGAGGCGGTGGCCATCCTCGTCATCTATGTCTTTGACGTCCTTATCGCGGACTATGCCCGGTGCTCGAGATGGTGAAAATGCGGATCGTGCATGCAGTCCGTGGAACAGGGGAGACGGCGCGGGCGAAACGGGGCCGGGGGGCAACAATTGGAGAATCGGACCCCACGCGATGCTCATGATGCAGGCTCCTAAAGGGTCGGGGGTGTGACTTGGTTGGAATCTCGAAGCATCCTCTGCGTTTAGAGCCTTGCTTTGAGGGTCTTGGCCGAGCTGTGAGCATGTGTCTGCAATTGCAAGCAGGGAGGAAGCGTTGCGTTTGACACAGCACGCGTGAGTTAGCGACTGACTTTGTAGCCCCTGCCCAGGTTTCAGATATTCTCCCAGCCTGGGGCTCTGAGATGGGCTCTCGCGTGGAAGGGATCCGATGGGGCTTGAGGTCCATGGGAAGGACTTCAACCTCACCATCTTCCTCATGGCCCGACTCCAATCTTTGTTGGGAGCCCTTGTGAAGCTTGAACTCTTAAGGTGATGGTCGTAGTGTTGACGGTGGTCAGTTACACCCTGGCACCAGCCTGGAAGAAGCCAGCCCGAGACCCAGGCCTCGCTAGTGCTTCTTTCGAAGGCACAAGACTTGAGACCCATTGGACATCGCCGGACCAAGGCACCGTAAGAGCACAGGCCTGCCAACGTGCGGACCCGAATGGCAGGGATCCTGGTGTCGCTGCTCTTGTCTTCAGTTCTACACCTTTCCTTCGTGCCTGCGTCAGCCTGCGTCCATACGAATCAGGTTGAGCTCACGCAATGGTTCTGCTGGAGATAGACAGTGCTTATGTACCTGCAACAAAAAGAAAGCGTGTCATTGCCGTCGTTTTGCAAAAATGCTTTCGCGATGCTGTCTTTGATTTTTTAACCCAGCTTTGGCTGATTCATGTTTCCGGAATCCGTCTGGCACAGAACTCACGGATGTCTTGTAGAAGAAGGCTGCGCGGATGGGGGTGGCGCTCTAATGCGCAATGGAAAGAGGTATTGACAATTTGAAGTCGTCGCTGACGGTGGCCAACCCGGAAGATGACGACGTCTCCAGGGAGGTCTACTTGGGTGTCGTGAAGAGCTACAATGACCGCCGTGGCTTCGGATTCCTTGCTTGTACGGAGACGGCTGATCGCTTCGGCCGTGATGTGTACATGCCCAAGGCTCTTCAGTCATGAACAGCATGATCTCTTGCACGTTGGGTCATGTGGGTTAGCCACTCTTACCACAGCTGGAAAAGTGACCTTGCTGTAAAAGTAGGTCAGCAGGGAAACGACGATTGTCTGGCAGGCGGAGGCCACGATGGCTGCTCTACTCGCAGCCGGTGTCGATCGGGAAGCGGGAATCAGCATGGTGATGAACGGGTGCCTCTCCTGCAAACATCTTGACTCTTCATTGTAGCGACGTCTGACCCTGTGTCATGAGAGTTTGACCCGGTGTTGAGGAACTGCGGTGCAGCTGCGACAGCGGCCGCTGTTGCGGCAGCACCACGGGGTCCGGATGCTGCAAAAGCCGCCGCAGCAGCGGCACAGCAGGTGGAGAAGGTCCAGGAGGGCGAGAAGTCCACGGCGCCACGGTTGGCCGAGGAAGATATCGTCTTCTTCCGTGTTCGGCTGAGTGTGGAGGGCTATCCGCAGGCAGATCTGGCTTTAACGAATTTCAGAGTGATCGACTATGAGATGCAACTGTTCTTTGCACAGGCCGTCTGCGTCCAGCGACTGCGGAAGGTGACTGGTAGCGTGCTGCTGGCGCCCTCACACACAAAAGGATCCATCGTCAGCGAAGAGGTAGCCTGATTGCTGGCAAGTCATGTCGAGGGTCCAGAGGGGACAGGGCAGGTTCTTGGCTTTCGACCCTGAGAGGCTGTGGCGGTTTGCGGGCGCAAAGAGGCCGCTGGGATCCCATGATGCCGTGAGCCTCCTTTGAAAGCCACAATACGGACCCTTCGCCATGGACCACCAGAGCTCTCTCCTCTCCTTGTGTCAGGTGGTCTTTGACACCGAAGCCTGCGGTCAGCTGCGGCTGATTCCTGGTGATGTCGTGACTTTCTGCATCCCAGAGGCACAGACTCGAAGACCTGTTTCTTTCTTTCTGCTTTGCAGTGCTTTATGCCGGTTCCTGCGAAGAGGCCGAGGAGAAGCTGGGCGCCGTCGCCAAACCCGCCCCATCGCCGGCCCCGGGAGCGAAGATGATCTCGCTTTGCACCACGAGCCGTGCGGGCGGCACCGTGCTGGGTTGCTTTACCCTAGACTTGCCCAGAACTCATCCAGAGAATGTGCTGCATGCTCCGATGCGAGCAAACCTGAAACTGCCCTGCCACGCTTTCGGGGACAAGCTCGTTCTCGCTCGCCTGACTGATGACTTAGACGAGGCTGAGCTTATGCGGTTCTTTTCCAAGCAGGGTGCCACCGGAGCAATCGTGGCGCATGCTCGTGCTTGTAGTTTCGCTTCGGTCTCCTTCGCCAGCATCGCAGACGTGGCCCGTTTCTTGGGCCGCATTGCCCATGCCTTTGCGGATGACAGGGGAACGCTGGTTGCCAGGCTGCTTCCCTTGGATCCCAAGTTGGATGCGATTGCAACGCTTCCTGCGCTGCCAGCTCCCCAGCTGTCGGCCAAGGACAGCAGTGGTGAGGATCTTGAAGCAGGGGCACTGCTTGTGCTGTGGTCCCCACTAGTCTTGGCCGTTGCCTACTCGGTAGAGCTTCGGCCCGCTGGCGCGGATGGTCCTTGGGCCTCCGTCGACGTGGGCTCCAAGATGGGGAACAACAGCCATCGATTCGACTCCACCACCTCCTCGTGCAAAGTGACCAGTTTGCATCTCAGCACCCGCTACGAGGCCCGGGTCTCCTACTTCACCGACTGCGGCACAACATCGGAAGCCTCAGAGGCTTCGGAGCCCTGCACACCTTCCCAAGGCGATGCCAAAGCCGGGCCCAAAACAGTCACGCCAGTGACGGCAGTCCAAGGGGTAGGTGCAGGGGTCACTGCCACGAACCCTCCACACGCCCGTGCACCCGAGTACGTGGCACCCGTGGCGCCACATTACCCGCCGAGCCTCAGCACCCTCCCTCCAGCTCCGACCTCCAGCTGGTCAGGCCGGTCTGGCTTTCAAGATTTGGACCGTGAGTTGCCTGATCTGTTGCAGTGACAGGCTGGAGCACCACGGAGGCCTACCCACCGCCACTGCCACTGCCGCAGGCGGTGCCTCCACCAGATCCCTTCGCAGGCGCGTGCACGCGAGCAGTAATTTAAGTTGCACGTTCCGGACTATAGACGAGTTCTTGATCGGAAAGCTTTAAATGCCAAATTGTCATATGCTGAACATCTGGCGTTGTTGAACTTGCTCAGTGTGGCAGCCATGGCAGGCTATCCACCTCCGGCGCCGGTGCCGGCGCCGCCGCCCCCGGCGTGGCGATCTCCGGCGGGCTTGGTGGTTCCGCCACCAGCCGCGCCGGAATTGCAGACCTGTGATGATCGGGGATTCGCGTTGAACGTGATGTGCCTTGGCCGCTTTTTCTCGGAGATCACTCCAAAAAAGCCTGACGTGACTCACCCTGAATCCCTGTCTGGCCCAAGGTGGCCATGTGTGCTGCAAGCAGTGTCTTATGTGGTGGAGATTCGAGTAACTCGGCATTGCATCCTTTATTGAGCCAGATGGTGTCAGCCAATCTCACCTTGATACTGCGCATGCGTGCACACTCGGAAGCACCAAAAAAAAAGAGTTTAGCATTCGCCGTCCTCTCGCGAAGGCGGGAGACGGCACAACCTTCGAGCGCTTCGTTCGCGCCGCCCCGGAGGCAAGACTGGCCATTGGTCCTCGGGGATGGAAGTGGGATCCCATGTTTGGTGCATCAGTTTCAAGTAGTCGGAGAGGTTCCGCTTGAGCGGGCAGCCTCTGGTAGCGGCTGCAGGCGAAGCTTGGGCTGGTGGTGGAGATGAGAGTCGCCGGGCTCCGCCCGGCGCCACCCCCGGGGCGCTTCTACTTGGCCCAGGCCGGCACGGGGGAGCCGAGAGGACGGAATTGAAAGCTCGTGCAATGAGGTTCGAAGCGTGGGCGCGGATGGCTGGGAGTCGCCACCCGGCCCATCGACATGGTCAGCTCCGCTGATATGCCCGGCGCGATGCCCAGAGCCACAACGGGTCATCAGCGCTGCCATCCGTGGCTCATTTCTGCCAGATGCCAGTGCTAGCGTTGTAATAATCCATGTTTTCTCCGTGCAAGCGGGGCAGCATTTTCAGCGCGATCGTCGGTTGTCGTCGGCGTTGTCGGTGTCCTCGTCGTCGTCGTCCTCGCGTCGCTCCCCCTGCACATCCCGTCGTCCTCCTTGTCCTCCATTACGATGATGACCGCATTGCTACCTTGCGGTACTTTTCCGTATGGTGCCTGTGCATAGCGCGCAAACTCAGTTTTCTGACTGTCCGAGGGTTGGCAGGCTGTCACGGTGACGTGAGGGCGAGGGCCGTTTCAAAAGTACGATTACATGAGCGTGCGAAGTTGGTGAACTCCGTTTTGGTGTCTTATCGGTTAAAGCACTTGTCAATCGACATCATGGCCAGCTCTTCATGTGAAAAGCTGAGTCCGAGCTAGGCCTTGCATGCTGAGTTCTGACCAGGATCTGAGCTCGCTGGATCCGAACGAGCTGAGAGAGCGCGAGGGAGTCTACCTTCTGAGTGCCCAGCCAGGGCTCTCTGCATCCGCGACTCCGTGGGAGCCAAAAAGCTGGAAGGGCCCAGAGATTCTGTCGACGAGCGAACCTGCAAAAGACTTCGGCTATGGATGGCATCCTGGGATGCCTCCGCCTCCGGCAAACCCTCCCGTTCTGGGTTCGGCCACTATCGTCGATGACAGCGCCAAGAGTGAGGAATGTCTCATCCTGGACTGAGCCTGTTCTGGGCTCCTTGGCCGTCGGTGTCACCAAAATTGGTTCCAGATTTGCCTTGCAGGCATGTAGAGTCGAGCAGTATATCGAGCGTCGAGCATGGATCTAGAAAGCAAGAAGACTCCTTTGAGGGCTTTCTGTTTTAATGCTCGAGCTGCTCTCAGCGGATGGTCCGCTGAGTCCCTGACGATGCGCCCCGCTTGGCTCGGCCCAGGTTTGGTAGGCCGAAGCCAGATGTGCTAATACGCATAATTGTGGCAAGTACCAGTACTCGAGTCCTGTGCCTCGATAGGAAGTTTTGGGAAAGTGTGGCAGATCGGAACAAAGCTGCGTAACTTTGAGCGCTTCCGGCACAGGACCAGGAGTCTTCGTGACCCCCGGATACGTGTTCAGATGACTCGACTCGAAGAGGCAAAAATGAAAGTCTCTGCTTCGTGTTCCCGTGACATAGCGATGTCTCCGCAGACTCTTTTAAGGGCTCACTTCTCGACTCCGCTGCTCCGCTCTCAAGACACTCGGCTCGAGCTCATCGTCTCAACCTCCCTAGGGCTAGGGCCGCTAGGGCCGCTAGGGCCGCTAGGGCCGCTAGGGCCGCTAGGGGCCCGGGCAGGGCGGGTCACCTCCAGCAAGCCGGCAAACCTCGAGCAACGAGAGCATCGAGCCATGGTTGATCAACTGGAACTCCCGGACTATGAAGTGAGACCTTCGCGTAACTTCAATAAGCGAGAAGAAAGCATCAGCTGCCTGCACCGGCTTTTGCTGCAGCTCTCGTGTTGCTTTGGAGATTCACTTGAAGCTGTCTAGCGATGAGTAAAGTGCCTCTGCGCCCGCAGCCTGGACTCGTCTACTACCAGCATGAGAGTGGGCAGACGCAGTTTGAGCGACCCTCATCAAGGCTCCAGCACAGCCGTGAATTCTTGCCTCACCGCGGCCACTGCGTTTCACAGGTCCTCCAAAGATCCATTGGAAAAGATCATTGAGAAGGAGAAACGGCAGAAGGCGGAGGAGGAGAAGAAGGAGGCCCGGTGGCAGGCGGGCAGCTTTGGTCTGGAATCACCGCGCAGCGATATGAGGCTAACAAGCTTCCTGAGAGGGCCGTCCAGAAGGGCGAAGCTCGAATTTGGCACATCCTCAAAAAGCACAGGCTGTGAGTCGTGAGTCTTTATGCACGCCATGCGCGCGTCCATGAGTAGAGTCATCATCGGTTACTGCACTTCTCTTGGATGCAGGCTGTACTCTTTATCTTTCTCTCTGTCTCTCGGCCGAATGCTCACCGGGTTCTGGCAGGGACTTCTTCGGAAAGCCCGCAAAGTCCTGGCGGCAAAGCCAGATAACTTGGAGCAAGAAGGAGGCCACATGGAGCCGGGTTTCAGAAGCTAAGGCAGCTGAGGGTGCGAACTTCTTCTGCAAGGCCAAGGAGTCGCTGAAAGCCTTGAAGTTCAAGCTTGAGAACGTGGCTTACGGGGGCGGGGCCCAGGCCGTGCCGAAACTCGAAGATGCCCGAAGGCTCTGCTGTGTGAGACTAGAAGCATGCCTTTTCCAGGCCTTGCAGAAGAAGTTCGAGAACTATGCCAAAGCCGAGAGTGATGACGACGTCAGATGCTCTGCGATGCCTTTTGCAGCTTAGAGCAGCTTAGAGCATCCTCTTGAAAATCCCTTCTTCGGCAGATCTCCGCAAAAGTCGGTGGCGACTTGGGGCCTGGGGCCCGGCGAGATGGTCTTCTTCTGAGCCAGAGAGAGCGGGCACTCCGGGGCTTAGGCCCATCACCAAGAAGAAGAAGCTCTTCGGTGGCTATGAGATCGCGAAGGCGGCTGAAGGGGCTGAAGGAAGCGGAGCGAAGCAGAGCGGATTCTCTCAGAGGCCTCCTTCGAGCTGAAGATCGGCACCATCTCGGACATCCTCGAAACCTCCGAGGCCGGTGAAACGAGGGGAAAAAGTGCAATGTGGCTGCCATGTGGGCCTTGGCCTTTTCGCGGCCAAGGGCGTGCACCTCGTCGGGCGCTTCGAATGAGACATCAACTCTGCGTTTCACAGGCTGCGAAGCTCGCCACCTCTTCAGTTGCAGCATGTTGCATCCCTTCATGCTGCGCGGGCATGCAGGACATGTGCGAGTTTGTGTGGCAAAGCTTGGACAGGGCCGCCCTGAGTGCCGCTCCCGGGAAATATGGCTTGTTGACACTGTGTCATGTGACAGCAGCTCTGAATCGATGACCCAGGCTTCGAAGGGACCACACTCGCCATCGCCCTCTGATTGGCCCGATGGCTGTCCCCGCCGCGAGTGGCAAAAGACCATCAACCTCAAACTGCCATGATCTTTGGCTCTGCCCGAACTGCATGAAATCCAATCATGTTGCAGGAGCTGTTGGTGTCTTAGCGGCTCATCCTGGCAGTTCTTTGGCTTTGGCAAAATGGGACATGTGGGGGTGCGGCGGAGGTAGAGAGGGGAGTGAGCACCGTGGAAGCACCAAGAGGCTGGGATCACCCAACACAACCTATCCCGAGACTTGGCCAGTAAACATATTATACATGTTGTATGCATCTTAGAGTGTGCTGATGCATGCGATAATGTGTATATATATATATATATGTGTGTGTGTGTGTGTGCACGTCCGTGTGTAGGTATGTCACGTTGCCTGCCTGCCTGCCCGGCTGCCTGCCTGCCTGCCCGGCTGCCTGGCTACATGTAGGTAGGTAGGTAGGTAGCTAGGTAGGTAGGTAGGTAGGTAGGTATGCAGGTATGTATGCATGCGTGCATGCATGCATGCATTTGCCTTCGCATGCATTTCTATCTGCATGTACGCATGGAAGTACGTATGCATGCATGGCCCGCTGGTTATGCAACGTGCATGGCTATCTAAGTCATCTAAGTCACATAAACATACATTTATATGTGTATTTCTATACATCTATCTACATATATATATATACATATACATACACATACATACGTAATGTGGAGATACGTTTCTTGCTATTGATATTGATGTAACGTATATATACAACGATGCCAATCACGAGTTTTTCTCGGACTGGACCCGTGTCACAGGGAGCGACCCTCATGCTCCTGCGGGTGCTGTTGATCAGCCTGGCGCTCCTGGCGACCGTCTACTTCTTGAAGGTTTGTTTGCAAGTGCGCATAATATGGACATGTGGCGTTTATTTGATCATCATTTCTCAAGCTTGGATTGTGCTGCCAGCGTTGCGAGAAGATATGAACAAACATTGGTGGTTCGGCACACGCAGTTTGAGCTGCGTGGCCGGCTGGCAGACATCATATGATATGTGCGAAACGAGTTGATTTTGTCTCTGTGCATGCGCAAGCACATGCTGGAAATGGGTCTTGAAGCCATTGCCAAAGAGTTTGGGCAGGCTGTGTTGCTGCAGCTGACATCCGATGATGCCATCGATGAAGCGGATTCCGCTCTAAGCGGCCCAGGGCCTCGGGGGGCTCTCTGCAAATGTGTTTTGCTTTTTGGCATTTGTCTCTGTGTCTCTGCCTCTGTGTGTGTGTGTGTGCATGTGTGTTCACGGGACTGCCGCGAGGCCAAAATAACTCCTGGACCGACGTTGAGAGGGCTCTGCAAGCGTTCAGGCCAGCATGAGACCGCCGGGCAAGCCTTTGTACAGGGGGTTGTGGAACTGTGAGGAGTGGCGATGATTCCAAGGCCACGGAGCAACTAAGGGAGAGCTCACTTCTCTCTGTTGCTTGCGTGCTTCTGCCAGGCCCTGGCGATCCTGACCGGCTGCCTCACCAATGAGGCCCGAGCTTGAAACGGGAGAAGGCGTAGTGCTGTGCCAGAACTCCCTGAGAGGACTCGGCTGAGGCGGATCAGTTGGAGACCGCTGCATGCAAGAACTCTCTCGGCGAGCTGCACTGGGTCGGAGCCGGGGTAGATCGGAATCTCACGCGGGCCCGGGGCCCATTAAAGCTCGTAGATGGGCTCACACGAATGCTATAGTCGAGGCCAAAGAGCTCTTCGAGGAAGCAGCTGCCGTGGGTGAGCCGGATGCGCAGTACAATCTGGCCATCCTCTATGCCTCGACCGAGAGCAGCGAACCTCTGGCCGCTATTAAATCATTACTAGAAAAGTCCGGTGTCGAAGGGGAGCATGCAGCATGTGGATTTTGAGAACATGCAAGAGTAGCTGCTCATGCTGAGGATGATCTGCGACGGAACGAGGTCCGCGAAGTACGTCGAATCTAAGCTTTCCAGATCCTGCAACTGTTCTGGCAGGCCCTAGCTGTCTTACACCTGTATGCTGCCTCCACAGCAGGCCAGCAAGATCCAGCAAGCAAACGTTGTTCGCTGGCCTCTTGCACCTCATGACCAGGCCATCCAGGTGCGTTGATGGCCATGGGCTACAGGCACTTGCACGGCTACGGTGTGCCACAGGCTACGTCGAAAAGCTTCTTGGATGTGCCTTGCTCCATCTGCACTGCAAGGCCTGCACCACAGCAGCCCTGAATTACATCGACGTTGCCAAGGGCATTGCCAGCATCTACTCATCTGGCATGCCGCAAGCAGTCGAGTTGCTCCGGCTGCATGTCGAAAGGGGCAGTAGGGCTGAGACAGAGGCACTGAGTCTGAGTCTGCGAAGGCAAGGCATAGCCTTCAGCTTGAGCCTTTTGAGGCTGGTTCGCTTGAACCTTCCGCAGAAGGACCGGAAGGTCGGAGAAAGCTCCTAGGGGTCTAAGAAGTTCTTCCCAGGTTGCTTGCTTGTTGCGGGCTTTTTTCTCTGTGTGTGTGAGAGGTCATGAGCAGCTCGGAGCTGAATCTCTTCGTGCAGATCGCCACTAGCGGAGACAGCGCTGTCGCCGCGGCGATCGGGAAGCGCTACCTCTTGGGGATCGAGGGCTTTAAGCAAGACTACCAGAAGGCGGGGCCCCCAGGGCCCTAGGGCCTAAGCCCCAAAAGCTTCGAGGGTTCGAGGAAATTGTTTCGTGGCGAGGCCAAGCAGTACCTGAAGATGGCGGCCAACAGGCAGCACTCCGGGGCCTTGGCTCTCCTGGGATACATGTACTGCCTAGGCCGGGGATGTCCTGACTGCTGCTGCAGATTTTCCGTCCGTCCGTCCGTCTGTCTCTCTGACCAAGCGTGTGTAGTGTATGTGTACATGTATGTATGTATGCATGCATGTATGCATGCATGTATGCATGTATGTATGTGTGTAGGTATGTAGGTTTGTAGGTATGTATTTATGTATGCAGATAGGTAGGTCGGTAGGTAGGTATGTATGTGTGTGTACGCATGCATGCACATGCTATGCTGTGCGTGGTACAAGCATATACACAACAGGGACATGCGTGTTTGTGCATACAACAGCGCACGCATGCATACATAGATGTATGTGTGGTACCCCATGAACCCCACGCCCGCCAAGCATGCTGGCAGCGGTGTCAATTTGCTGCTTTGATTTGGCCTGTCCAGAAACCGGGATATGTAAAGGCCATCAGATTCCAAGATATTTTGTGCAGACACAAACGCGGGGCTCATCAGGGCGAAGCTCAATTTAGACACAGAGAAATGAGGTGCATAAGTAAGTAAGTATGTATGTATGTAGGTAGGTATGTATATCTGTATAGCATACTCTATATCTTTAGCTGCATATATATATATTATGCATATATGTATGTGTGTGAATGTATACATGTATTCACACATGTGTAAATATAACTGTTTCACCGTGAATTTCGAGCCCTCCGGACATGAGCCTATCGGAAGGAAGACCCAAAGAGGGAGTCTATATTTGTGATTATCTATATCTATCTCTATCTATATATGTATATGTATGCTTAGCAAATATGCTTCCTTTCAAAACCTACCTCCAAGATGGGCTTGCGCACAACACCAACAGAATATGAACCAAACCCTTTATCATGACCGCGGTTTGAGTGGAGACTAGAGAACGTCAGGAGGGTGATACCCATCATAATGTCAGGACTAGTCGAGGTTACTTCGGAGCAACAATGGTAGTACATTGGACATGAACCTATGATGAACGACTCATTTCATGTCCATCCCAACAGCGTGACGATTCAAGTGGTGCTTATTATCCCCAATACTGGCTCCCATACCCCAAGATCAACATTGGCCACCCCAATAGTTTGGGTACTGCCCCCAGTCTGTAACAGTTGGATAATATCGATGTTATATTCATATGTAGCCGAAATGCAGCGCTTAATTTGACACCTAGTAGAGACTGCTACAGGGTGCGGGCAGGATCTGTGGCCGCCATCGTGACTCTAATGTTGACCTCAAAAACGGCCCGCAAGACTATCCATAATGTAAACCCAAGACTCATACCCGGGAATTGCGTGGAATGCCTACCTTCGACGGGCGGCGACAGCTGAAGTCGGAATGCTACGTTTTGCAGCTCAACCGCCCAACACACAGCCTCTCGTGTAAATCTGCAGCACACAGCAACTGTGATGTGCAGTTCATGTGACAGCATGCCGTTCAGTGTGCATAAATAAACAGACCCTACATATAGGGACAGATGAGGTTGGAGATTTTCCCTGGGCTGGGAACATTGAAAATTGAAGATTCCGAGCAGCGCAATGTTGTTTTGTATCTGCATGGGTGGGCATGCCGAAAAATATATACAGACATATGTATACATATATATATATATATATGCATGCACACATACCCACATATGTCTTTTGCACAGATTGTTTTTTTCAAACCTGGAGCCTTCATTGAACTTTGGAGGCCTTGGCACACCCCAGAACTTGGAGACGGCGTACGCTTACTTCGTGACGGCGGCATCGTCGAACGACCCCTTGGGGCACAATGGCCTGGGATACATTTATTTCCGCGGCACCAACGCACAGGTGGGCCGCCGGGACCGGTAGAGTCTGCGGGTTGTTGGACTTAGCGACTTAGTGCGCTTTCGAAGGCAGGACCCTGCAGGGCCCCGAAGCCCGGTCTTAGCTTTCGCCCACTTCGGATATTCACTCGAGACATGCAGAACAGCAGTAGCTCCGTGTAACGACGTGCTTCAGGAATCTAGACGGACAAACACGCACACGTATAGACACACATCTAGAGAGAGCAGTTGAGAGAGGGAGAGAGCGATAGAGTGACCAACCGGTGCGCATGCGCACGCGGGCCGGGGGGGGGGGGCAGTTCCCCTGTTGGCTTTGTGGAAGAAGAGAGAGAGCGCCCGCTGCTCAAACATCGACGCAAAACCGAGGGAAGCCGCTGATCGACCGGCTCGCCAACTTTGAGATGGCTAAATGTTAAAAATGAATAGCGGGGGAATCCCTAGAAGGTGAGCAGGCCTTGCGCCAGGGCCATCTCAAGCAAGCAAGCGAGCAAGACAGGGGAATGAGACCGCACAAGGAAACTCATGTCCCCCGACCGCTTGAAAGGAAGACAGAACGAGGTTTGAAACCTGAATCATGGATCGCTTGTGGCATTGTAGCATAACTTTCAGATAAAGCGCTGGCGGAACGAATTGCAGCTCCAAAAAGAAATGAGGTGCCATGATCTCTTTGCGTGTCGGTCTGTCTTTTGGTTCCTCTGTCGCTGTCTCAGTTTGTTTGTGTTCGTGCCTCCCAAGAGGTGGACGGAGGTGGGCTCAATTCTGAAGAATCCCTTCGCGATTTGACATCGTGTAAGGTGTAACAGCAGCATGCACAGCCAGCAGCCGAACCGAGAATATGCTTGCAACACACCGACGACGTGTGATCCAAGTCCCCGCCCAACCCCTGAAGGCTCGGAATCTTCGCTTAGCCTTCAAGCACTTTAACGAGTCAGCCTTCGGCGGGTCCTCGGATGGCATGTTCAACCTGGCCAGCATGCTCTGCAAGCCTGATTATCAAGCGACATTCAGACCGCGGTGCTCTCTGTGTCCGTTTTCGCCAGGTACCTCACAGGCTCTGGCACGGAGCAGAGCTTCCAGAAGGCCGTGCTGTACTACACGCAGGTGCGCCAAGTTCTCTCGCAAGCAGAAGCTGAGCTCTTTGCCGCCCTTGCATGACGAGGCCTTGGATCGTGGTCATACTCCTGCCGCCTATTCTCTTGCCGTCATGCACTTGAACGGCATAGGGCCCAACCCTCATCTTCTTTCCAAGCTCCACACAGAAGCTTGTCCCGCGGCTGCTGACCGATGCAGGACGGTACGGGACTGTGACATCGCCGTGAACCTGCTGAAGAAGGCGACCGTTGCAGTCGATAGTTCGGATGGATGGAGTTCGGAGCGGCTGTTTCTTGCTGCAGGTCTGCGAGCGCGGGGAGTGGGTATCCAGCAAGCTGGTCAGTGCGTATGACTTCAGTAGGGGCCTTCCGTCATGCGGCGATACCCGTCACAGCGAGCCATGCAAATGACTAGCAGGCGAGAAACAGCCGGACAAAGCAGCCCTGATGTTCCTCAAGCTTGCCGAGGCTGGCCACGAGGCCATGCTGCTGTCCGGGTTGCTAAACTAGCAAGCTTGAGTTTCAAGCCATACTTCGGCGAGGTCTCGCAGATGAACGCGGCCCATCTCTTTGACCACGGGCATGCTTCCTTACTCACGCCCGATCCACCTGCTCGTGCCACGGTTGCCACGCATGCGTCAGAGTCAGTAGTCTTGCGCCTCCGGCTCAGTGTTTTTCGGTTTTTTTGGCTGTGCCAATAGTGAACCTGATCCGAGCCGAGAACGCACGGCGCGTCATGACGACTTCTTCTGGGAAGACTCTCCTCGACTCCCCGGGCAAAACGTCGCCCAGCCCCAGCCCCGGATAGGGGGATACAAAGAGGTATCAAAGAGGTCCAAAGAGGGTCCGAGCTTTTGGGTCAGGCGTTTCTACGAGCTCTCCGCCGAGCAGGGCAGCGCCTCCTCCGAGCTTCGCTTGGGCGACTACGCCTACTACGGCTCCCCAGAGAGAGAGAGAAGTCAAACAATCAGTTTTCTCCTTTTTTCGAGTCTTTTAGAGACCATGCATTGGGATCGAGTATATAAGTGTCGAACCTTTGCAAGCCAGGTTGGGGAATGACGGCGCGCTTCACTGAGGCGCCGCTGCCATCGGAGGAGGCAAAGCCCGCAGAGCTCGATCAACCGGGCGATGGTGGTTGGGAAGATTTCCCCTTGCCATCCATTTATACCAACGACAAGGTGGAGCTCCATCCTCAACCCGTCGATTACGAAGCTGCTCTGGCTCGGTACCGGAAGACGGCCGATATGACCGTGACGGGTGAGTGGATGCAGTCCTTCGTGGCCAGAGCCTCCTTTAACTTGGGCTTCATGCATCAGTTCGGAATAGGAATCGTGCAGGACCAAGCGGGTGGTGTGCGTGCAAGGCTATAAAAACTAGCAGAGCGTTCATCAAAGTGTCGGAAGCAACTCTGCAGGACCTTAATATGGCCAAGCAGCACTACTTTCGGTGTCGAGAGGTCGACCCCAGCGGTTTGCATGCCCCGGTGACTATGGCTTTGGCCGCGCTCGCCGGGCATGTGTCTGTCTGGCATGCTTAGTGAAAGCGTGAATCTGTAGCGCTCTACATGACGTTTGCAGATGTTTGCAGCACAACCCCAAAGCCAGGCTCTACTTGCGACTTCCCTCGCAAGAGGAGATGATTAAGCGGCTCTCCGCCGACGTGCGGCTACATGTGCTGTTTCTCCACATAGTTGCGGTCATAATCCTGGAGCCACTGGCCTGTTTTCCCGGCAGCGAGAGGAAAGGCAATCACAGGCCCCTGTCACTAAGACTCTGGCAGGCATGGCTACACTGCATCCTCTCAAGCCGACGGCGAACTGCGCCACCGCGGCCGCATCGTCAAGATCAGGACGATGGTCATCATGTTGTCATGTGGGGTTGGTGTATTGAAGTAGAAGTGAGGAGCCTGCGCATGCCATGTCCTTCCCGCCTGCAGTGCGACCAAGCAAATCTCGACGGTACTCCAGATCTCCACCCCGGAAGTACCCGAAGAGGAGCGATCTCGACCTGACTGAAGCAGACTGCGTCAGGCCTCTCCGCCAGCTGCGACGCAGCCAGCGCTGGGAGAGAGGCAAGGAAGTCTCGCGCAGACCGCGGGCGAGAGCCGGCGAGCTGCCGGCAATGTGGTACTCGACTGAGGAGGCCCTGAAGACCGAGGCCTCAAGCGGTTTCACCAAGGGTCCCGTTGAGACCTTGCTCCCCCCATATTCGCCCATGCTCAGCCGAAGGGCACGGCCTGTAGTCGACCAGAGGCCTTGACTGAGCCGAGAGTCGCACGGACAGAGTGAAGTCACAGAGGAGCGAGTCAGTGAGTCTTGAGCTGTCTGTGTGTTTGGCTTCAGCTCGGCCTGGAGGATAAGTAGGGTAGTACTACGTAGGGTTTAGGCGAAAGACCAAGGCACCAGTCCTTTCTCGTGCGTCCCTGTTTCGACTGGGCCTTAGAAAAGCTTCGCCAACATGACAGAGCACTCGGTTGCTCGCAAGTTTCAGCTTCCCGCGCCCACTGCACCCACCATCTCCAGCTTGGCTCAGCTTCGTCGTTCAAAGCAAAGGTTAGCGGCTTATGCATGTAAAGTCCTGCTTTCCATCAGGAGTTAAATTGAGTTAAAGCTACATCTCGTTTCAAGCAGCTCTCTTGATGTCCATCCTTTTCCTTTTGTGATGAGGAGGTGCACGCGACATGCCTTTCACGTGGCCCCGCTGTCGCAGCGAGCCTGCCCCGCCGGCGCTTGGAGATCTCGAGACTTCTCGAGCTCGGGAGCGACAGCACGCTCCTTGCGGCGCTCCTTGCGGGCACCGCCCAAGACCGGCCGGCCCAGCCGGGCCGTTGGGCGAAGCAGCAGCCTGAATGCAGTGTTCAAGGTGCTCTCCACCCACTGTGAGCCCTACTACACCATGCCATGGTCCACGTCACCGCAGACCACAGCAGCCGCTTCCGCCCTGGCTCTCGAAGTGGATGGGCAGCGCTACCTGGTCACGAATGCTCACGCCGTGCACCACGCCTCCTTGCTGGAACTACAGAAGCCCTCGGACGACCTCAAGTGCTTGGCTCGCGTGATTTGTCAAGGGCCAGGCGCGGGAAACTGGCTTTGAAGGGAAACAGGGACTGGCAGACTCCAAATTCTTCGTGCCATTTTGTGCCACTGTGCACACTGTGCCCCTGATGAGATTGCGACCTCGCGCTGCTGGAGCTTGTGGAGCAGGTTCCCGATTTCTGGGCGAATGTGGAGCCTCTGAGCCTCAGCGAAGATATTTGCCATCTCAATGACCGAGTTCGCGTGTGCGGCTTTCCTGTGGGCGGCCCTCTCGGTGACAAGTGTTGCTAAGGGCGTTTCCATGACGAAAATTTGAAAACAGCAAGCAGATGCAAGCAGCCCCGACCTGCAAACAGGTGGTGAGAACATCAGCATCACAGAGGGCATCGTCTCAAGGGTGCGGAGTCTGCGCAGCGCGCTCGATAGAATCATAAAAACTCCTGATTCAGGTATGTCTAGTCTATTCACACACCCTGTCGTTTCTCACGTAAAGCGATGTATTTGCAATTATTGGGAAGGATTTTGTGCTGCAGAGATGGAGCAGAGGATCCCTGCTAGGTGGAGATGCAGCCTTATCGACACGGTTTGGGCAGCCTACTTGCCATCCAAATCGATGCTGCAATCAACCCTGGACTGAAGGGGTTACGTCAAGTAAGTGAAGTCGCGGCAGCGCCGGCCTCCAAGCGAAGCTGATGTAGACTTGGACTTGAATGTGCGAGTCTTGCAGGAAACAGTGGTGGGCCTGCCCTCGACGCGCAAGGCCGCTGTGTGGGAGTCGCCTTTCAAAGCCTGCAAGATGCAGACAACATAGGCCTGGCTGCGGGTTTGGACAGCTGGCGACAGCATTTGCAAGTAGTTAAGTAGTCTGAGCATCTTGTCGCTTTTGATTTTGCTTCAGGATATTTGATCCCAGCAGAAGTGCTCCGCCACTTCCTCTCCGGCTATCGCCGCTGCGGAGGCCAGCGGCTAGTTGCTTCGACTGTCATGCTGGTAATCTCTGTTCGTGTAAGACGTGCAGGACTGCTTGTGCATGTGCATCCCAGCACGTCGCATCATGGCCAATGCAAGCAGGCAGTCTTCATCCCTTTCCCGAGGCTACGCAGGTTTCGGACACCATGGTTTCGCGTGGCAGCCCTTGGACAACCGTGCCCTCCGTGAGGCACGGAAATTGAGTCAGATCAGAGAGGATAGGATGGGACGGTGACTTTCCGATGCTTTTCTTTCGAGTGTTGGGGATGATGTTCGAAGTGCAGAGGGGGCGGAAGTGCAAGCCAGGGTGCTGCAAAGGCGGTCTTGAGAGAAAACGGCACAAACAATGGAGACATCCCGGGTGGCGTCTTGGTGAAGCGCATCGAGCCTACATCACCAGCAAGCGAGCTTCTACGAGAGCGTGACGTGTTGCTGTCCATTGCGGGAAGATCCATCAGCACAGGCGCCAGAGGGAGTCTAAAGTTGTCTAAAGCTGTATGTGAAGTTCCACGCCCCAGTTGCTGCAGCTCACAGGTGGCACAGTGCACTTCCGGCGAGGAGAGCGCATCGCGTTCCCGTACGTCACCAGCCAGAAATGCCCCCATGACACCGTCGAGTGCGAGGTGCTGCGAGACAGCAAGGCCGGCGGCCGCTCCTTTCGCTGCTATGGTGTGTGCATGCAGGGGTGGGGGTGTCGGTGTGTTGTCTCAGGTGCACCAATGGCATCTGAAGCTGGGGTGGCCGAGTCCGCTGGTTCCCATGCACCCCTTGCAGCCACCGGCTTACCTCGTGCCTCGGCTACTGGCTTAGTGGCGTTTTGTGCGGCGTTTTTCGGCTGCGAGAGCTATACTTCGCTGAAGCGCAGATTTTTGGTGGCCTGGTCTTCGTGCCGCTCTCGGAGCCTTACCTGCGTTCCGAATGGGGGGAGCTCTTCGAAGAAAGGGCGCCAGTATGTCTGGCAGAGCCCTGGCTTCGGAACATTCCCCGCTTCGAGGAGGAGGAGGCGCCGGCTGAGGACCCTTGGTGACCCTTGATAACCCTGTTTCTCCCCAAGTCTCAGGTGGTCGTGCTCTCCTGTGTCTTTGCCTCGGCCCTCACGGCGGGCCTCACACACTTCGTAAATCGGCGCCTGCACCGCTGCAACGGGGAGCAGGCACACTTGACCGACGTTTCAAGCAGAGGGAGGCGCCGCAGCACCGCTTCGCTGAGGTTCGAAACTTGCTTCACCTTGCAAGCTTGCTGGATGCAGCAACGGCCTCGACGATTTGGTTCGAACTGGATGACGACGATGTCATTGCGCTTCCCACCGAGCTGGCTCGGGCGACCACCAGGCTGAGACTCTCTCTTTCTCTCTCCTTTTTTGTGCCTCTCTTTTTTGTCTCATTCTCTCTCGCTCTCTCTCTCTCTCTCATTTTCTCTATCTCTCTCCCTCTCTCGTTTCTCTCCTCCTTCTCTCTCTCTCTCTCTC